GCTTCAATGTTACCTTTTTAAAGATTATTTATTATTTTTATTTTATGTATATGAGTGCATTGCCTATGTGTATATAAATGCACTTATGCTGTTCAGTTCCCATGGAGATCAGAAGAGGGCATCAAATCCCCTAGAACTGAAGTTAAGATAGTTGTTAGCTGCCATGTGGGTTCTGTGAATGGAACTCAGGTCCTCTGCAAGAGCAGCCAGTGCTCTTAACTGCTGAGCCATCTCTCTAGCCCTAATGTTACCTTTTTTGAATAAACTTGTCCTATCAGTGTGTACTGTGCTTTTCTCAGTTTTACCAATACTTGTCATTGTGTAGTTAGCTTTTGTTTTCTTTTTCAGTCCATCTGTCTCATGAGAAGATGAGTTCACAAGAATAGAAATTATAGTTCGGGGTTATTGCCTAGAACGGCCTGGATGATTATAGCATTCAATAAATATCTGAGAATTAATGAAATAACAGTTTTCCTTGATAAGAAATATAAGCTACCCTATTGATAAATGACATTTTGTCTTAAATCCTAAAGGGTTCTGAGCACAAATCACTCAGTCTGATCTTCATAACATCTGAACATTTAGGCAAAATAAATTTTAAAATTTGGCCACATATTAAGCTAGAATTGTTATCTAGAATATAAAAGAAAAAAAAAAAAACAGCAAAGCCACACAAAAAACAGCTAATGACCAGATTTTTGGCAATGCTGATGAGACACAGATCAGAAAATTTTCCTTTTAGAAATGTGTTCATTTAAAGCTCTTATCCATGATTATGTGTTTGTGTTTCTATCTCTTAAAACACCAGCTGTACAATGTCACCAAAGCAATCACTCCATCATCACACTCAATGTATGAAGTTCGCACAGAACATCTTTACCGTTATTTCATCCAGAGTTAACTGAAATTACTGTCCATGGGCTTGCAGAGATACTTAGAAATGATTCCTGAGAACTTAAGAGCATACGGTCGTTTTGCAAAGAATACCAATGTTCTCTGCAGAGTCATGACTTGAATTTACTATCAGGTTACCGGAAGCAGAGAACTTGTACTCAGCAGCCAGTACTGACACTTTCCATCTATGACCAACAAGATTCTCATGATCTCTCGTGGCTTGTTGCTCTTACCTTTAGGAGAGATGTGTCTCCAGGTTACTGTAGGCTCTGGTCTACCTGTGGCTATGCAGGTGAGGCTGACATTGTTTCCTTCATTAATGGAGATATCTGAAGAAATCTCTACAATTTTGGGCGATACTGTGGAGACAAAACAGGTGGAAAGAACATAAAAATTCTGCCGACACATTGCTTTGTTGTCTTAAAGTGATAGAATACTCCAAAGACTGAAATATATGGACTACAGCTGTAAATGATGAGAAATTAAAAGGACTTCCTTAAATATGGAAAAGATCTTACCTTGAATTTAGCTTCCACTATTATTTTCTATTTAAGCCCAAAGATTCTGACAAGGAAGCGGCTTTACTGCAATGTTGCAGTGTCTGCTACCCCAGCTGCACCTTCCTGTCTGCTTTTGCATGCCACCCACTTCCAACACAAGTCTAGGAGTCATTCTCCTCGCTGCAGTCAGAGCTGGCTTTATATAATGAAGTTCTAACCACACACAGCACATCTCTGCCTAAACAGCTTGGATTCTCTGTTGCCTACTGGGTCATGACCAGGTTATCCTAGCACTCTAGTTTCAGAATCAAGCATCATTCAACTTTCCTCTGCTATCTCCTGTGAGCCCCCCTACATTCACTCATGTGCTGTCTCTGACATACCATGCTCTTTCTGGTCATCATGCCTATGGATCTATAGTCTTCCTCACATCCTTTGTATATAATCCTTTAAGGCCCAAATCAAGTGATGTTTTCATTGTTACTGCATTCATACCCCATCTGCCCTCCTTAACAACTCAAATGTACTTGTGCTTCTTCACCCGTGTTTCCAGAAAATATTATACACATCTAAATGGGAACTGAAAGTTACAGAGTGAGCTGTACACCATTTCCCCTCTTCCCTACACAATGGACAAGTGTTCCCACAAATGGCTAACGTTGAGGCAGACTTTCAGTTTCTTGGCTTCTGTTTTGGAGCCTGGCTCCCCATGGGAAGCCTTCCCACTGCTCTGCTCCTCTCACTGTGCATTTTACAGAAGCAACTCCCCTCAGAGGTGGGTCCTGCAGCCTGGCCAGCAACAGCATATGTATGCTTATCTTGTGATGGGGCCTGTCGGCTTTACCAGTAGCCAATGTGACATTGGGTTCTCCATGTCACTCAACTGTCAAATGGTATAAAATTCAGAGAGCTAAAGTGAGAATGTCATTTATTGAGCCCCCAAATCCACTCATAGATTTATCCCATTATGCTTGGCATAACTCATGAAATCACCCGTGAGCTTTCTGACAGCCTGAGCCTGAACCATAGTTCATTGTATTAGTATCCACAATAAAAGACCAAGGATTTATAAAATTGAATTATAATAACAATTAAAGGGGGCCACTTTCCCAACTTGCTCCATGTTCCCAACAGCCTCAGAGTGGGATCATTAGCAAATACTGTTTCTGTCCTCCTAACAGTGGGATTTGGCACCTTACTTCTTGGCAAGCGAAGTGACCGCTCCACCTAGTGCTCTTGTGATGTCTTGTTCTACATTCTTTCTTTGAATGAGGACTCTCAAGAAGCAGCAGACCATGTAATACCAGAGCACATGGCTCTCCCAGCGCACAGTGGGATCTGCTCTGCTGGAGGACTCAGCAAGGCTGTGTGGTGATGAGTTCATTTCTTGCTCCAAGGGCAAAGTCATAGACTCACTGAAATCAAATCAGATGACTTTGGAAATCTCAGTGCTGGTCTTTTCTCCAATGAATCACCACTCAAACTCATTCCTACTCGTGTTGGACCTTCTCCACTGTGAAAAGGGGTATGATGAAGCTATCATCTCCCAGCCTCTTCTTCCTTTTGCATCATTTTCTTTCATCCATGTCCTGCAGCCCATCCAAATGATATACTCACAGCTCACATGCATGTGTTCCATTCTGTCTCCTTATCCCATCCTCACTGCTGCTGTGTGTGCTCAGAGCTCAGAAGACTGTACCCACTACATGCACCCTGGACCTGGCTGAATTTCTACGCTTTCAATATCAACAGACAGTGTTAAAGAAGAACCTTATTCATTTAATTTTGTTTTCCTACATATGATGACTTTCATACAGTATGCACCATCTTGTTATTGTTAGACTTAAATTTATAATGAACTTCAGGTAAGAGGCTGTGTGTGTGTATGTGTGTGTGTGTGTGTGTGTGTGTGTGTGTGTGTGTGTGTGTACCTGTACATTCAGGCAGAAATAATAAATTGTAGAAGCAGTGAGGGTTGGAGAAAGACTCATGGATCTACAACCTAGAATATTTAAGATCTAACACTGAAATTTATGGTTGATCATTCTAAAAGTTAGAGTGGGCCTTCCAGGATAGAAAGGTAATTGATGAGTTAACAACTGAGCATCTGATTTGCTGACTTCCTGACATATAAATTTCTAAATTCTCTTAGTTCTCAAATAACTTAAAATGATCTTGCAGGAGTAAAAATGTTGATGTATTTTATTTACAGATCTTTAACTGTAGCATTTCTGTCTTGATAACTCTTCCCCCAGCCCATTTGCCTGGCCACTGCTCCTGCTCATTCTTGGCAGTCACACCACCTTGCTTGCTTCTTGGAGAACAGGCTGGCTGTGTCTGTGCTGGCCTTGCAGACATTGCTTCAACTGTGCAGGTAAGTAATTTATTGATCTGTAAAGCACTCTGAGATGCTCTGCAAGGGATTATGTCACGCCAACGCCATGCAATAAAATAAAAAATGATGGGCTTTGTGAACACAGGGTGATTTAGGGGTTGTAGTTGGAAGTGTGCTTAAAGTACATTTTAAGTGGAAATCAGGCTGGGTAATGAATTACTCTTGCTTTGGAAGGGCTTACTGGGAGTTCATTTTCCTGGCTTCCTACATGATAGCTAATCTGCTAATCATACACTAGAGCACAATGGACAGTCCCCAAGTGGCCCAGAAGGTGGTGTGGGCCAGAGCTGTCAGCAGTGTAAGTATATTAAATGAGACAATCACACCTCATGCTTGGAAGAATCATCTAGAATTGTCTCCCCATTTCCCCACTAGCAACTGGAAAGTATCCAACTCATGAAGCAGAAGTTGGAGAAATGCTAGCCTCCTTTATAAGCCTGCCTCACAGCAGAGCATGAAGGAGGCAAACTGCCCTCATGAATCTGAAAGGGAAGACAGAAGACATGCTTGGTACAGAGGTCAGGTACTTAGACAACAGGTGCGGTCCCTGGGATCAGAGCTAATCTATATCGACTGAGTGTACATTTGGGGGTCTAGGATTTTCTAGATGGCAACTTCTTGCATATTATGAGCTTTAAATTTTCAACTGGGAGCTTAGAGCACACCCTTGATGCAAGGACTTACATTCTATCCTCAGCAGCTTTTCAAAAAAAGTCAAATTGAACTTGCAAGAAAACATGATTTTAGTTAATTCATGCTTATAAGAAGGATTTGGGTATGAGATGGGTCTATCTATATTTCATACTATTTCCATGGATACTTACTGTACCTTACTTCCCTTATTAGAGGCTGTTAGAAACATACTAAGAATGTTGTTTGTTTTTATTCCATCACTCATTCATTCATTTTCTTATCAATATTCATAGGTTACTTTCCATACGTCAAGATTGCACTAAGGAGTAAGAACATAAAGTAAACACAGCCTTTGTCCCTAAGGTTGTCAAAGTCTAGCTATGTAAATACAGATATGGAAGCCTAACCCTTCAATGTATTGTGACATAGAAGGGTAGATCGAATGTTACGGGAATACAGAAAATAGACAGTCAAACTTGTCTGTAGAGCAGTGTTGTATGAACCTCACTGGATATGTAACAACTATGTTAAGTCATGAGGACTGAGTAAAAGTTTATCAAGTCTGGGGAGGAGAGGTAGAAAGACTTGCTAGGCAAAAGGGATAACATATAGAAAGTGTCATTAGTGAGGGTTTTTTAACTAGATTGGAAGAGGCTTTCTTTAGAGGCTGGGCCAAAAGTCACTTGACAAAGAGTTTATGAATTTATATCATACATGCAATTGTATGCTAGGCATTTTATAGCATGCAGAAATATACCAGGTTGCTTGGCTCTCCATGCACTTTCAATATACGGAAACAATACATAAAATCATTCCAAAGAGTTGAGTGATGAAGCAAAATGTACCAGAAAATTGTGTGCGATTGTGAAAACGAATGATGCATGTGCTAAGTGCTGTGAGCTCGCAGGGGGGATGGTCACAGTGAGTGGGGGTGTCAGAGATGGCTTCACCTGGCATTAGCGTCTGTACTGAATATCAGCAAATGAGAGAAAACTGTCTACAAAGACAAAAGTGGAGCTGTTTCACATGGGCCAGAAATACAATGGTGCTGATGGGGCCGCAAAGACCCATGAGGTATGTAAACATGAAGATACGAAGTCCGCCAGCAGGAGGCTGCATCCTGCAGGCCTTGTCAACCTGACCATACTAGATTTAAAGGGGCATTATTGACCGTGATACTTCATCTCACTGTACTTTACCATTCTCATCTGAAAAGTACAGCTAGCAATTCTATAGAATTCCAGAGTTTGGGGGTTTGTCTGAGGACTTAAAAGGCATGTATCTGAAATACTCTGGGAGCAGTTTCTGGAACCAAAGTGCTCAATAAATGAGTTTTAATATTGCATGTGGTTGGTGAATGTGTGTGTTCAATGTCAACACAGAATAGACAGTCAATAAATTTTATAAGAATCAATGAAAAAAGGGATACAGGATCAATGAGGCAAAGGAGATCCAGATTGTGGAACAGCTGAAGGTCTTGGATTTATAACTTCAATAGGCTATGGCAAGTATTTGAATTTAAAAAAATGGAATGCCATAATTTCAAAAAAAAATTATTTTAAGAAGAAGAATCTGTTAACCATGTGTCATAGAATAGAACACGGAGAAATTGGAGTCAGAGAAATCCATCTACATGAGTGATATTCAAAGCCTGGATTAAAATGTTGGCTCTGCAAAGATGGAAAGAAACGGGTAGATTTGAGAATAGGGCCAAGGAACACGCATGGGAACCTGATCCCCTGGAACAGGGAGCTCAGAGAAGCAACTACGTTTGTGGAGAAGACTAGTTTGATTCATTCCATTTTGAATATGCTGATGGCAAAGATGATGA